CAATATCTCCAGAATTCCACAAAACTATCTAAAATCTGGTGGCTGACTAAATACTTTTTTGCCCCACTGTATATCATCCTTAAGGGCCATACAGCCTTTTCAAATTGGCTTACATGCAAAATAAAGATAAACAGAAATATAAAATGAGTATCAATATCTCCAGAATTCCACAAAACTATCTAAAATCTGGTGGCTGACTAAATACTTGGTGGCTGACTTAGTTGGCTTAGTTGGTGGCTGACTAAATACTCTTTTGCCCCATTGTATAAGCAGCTGAATAAGACGCAAACAATATATTCACGATTGGGAAAATGTACTGACGACGTTTGTTGGTTCAATCTATTGAAGAGAGGCTGTTAAAAGACCTCAGCCTGTAATCTGCAATAAAGCGCATCTAAGATCTTTAATACGCTGACTACATATCAGTTCCTCCCACACACGTACATTTATTTTACACAAGTGGAATATTCACATGTCTGGTAAATTTGTTAACAAACCCTTTTAAAAACCAAACAAACCTCTTCAAAAACAGTCTTGTCTGAATCTGCTGGGATCACGTTTTCCTGACGCTTTGGCAAATTGCTTGGAAATTTCTCTAGGATCCTGGTTGGGGCTGATAATGGTGTCTCATGATGCCCTTAAAATAGGAATATGGTTTCCATTATTCTCAAAGGAAAAAAAATGTCCAAGAAACAGTTTCACATGGCATACTTCCATTTGAATGGCTTGGAAATTTGGCAGCATGTTCAAGAATATAAGAAAACAAGGAATGGTTCCAGTTAGATAAGACCAAAGGTTAATTTAGCTCAGAATTCCATTTCCAATAGTAACCAACTTCTTGGAATATTGCTAACAAGACAGGAAGCCAACATTAGCCCTTCCCTGTTACTTGTCCCCAAGGCTGGTTGTGACTGACTAGCAGTCACTCATAGGGTTGCCTACTAAGACTAGAATCTGTACCCCTCCAGATGTTAGTAGATAGCCCTTCCCAGCATCCCTCCCCATTAGCCAGGCTGGCTGACAATGCTGGGAGTTGTAGTTCAGCAAATATCCAGAGCCAAAAGATCTTTACTCCAGCTCTAAGAGCTTACCCAATCTCACTTAAAAGAGAATGCAATCATGATGTGTTGTGGTTCTGAATTCTGCTGTAAAGGGAAATACTTGCATATTGTATCCTTTAAATTAATACCCAGGATTTGAAGAGAATCACATTGCTAGTTCATTAAAGCTTCAGTTCTGGATTTCAACTTACTGATAGCGTATGATCTCAGCAAGTCATGATCTTACTATTCTTAAAATTATTTTTTCCTTCCAAGTTCCCCTCCCTGAGACATATTTTGCAAAAGCCAGAAGTACAGAGAACTGTCTTTAAAACTTTAAATTAAACAAGTTATAATGTGGAAGCAATTAACTGGCTTCTACAAAACTGTTTTTTAAGCGCATTATTGTTAGCATATTCATAGAAAAGAGAATTTCACTATTTTCCCTTCTCTTGTTTATTAAAAATCCATAAAAATGGTCAAGTAGTTGGGTTACTTGAACAATATGGTGCAAGAATGGAACACTTATTTTAACTTTGCAGTTTGTTCACCAGAGGGCAGTGCAATGCAGAAAAAGCCTTCCAGATACCTATTAAAAGCCAATGGTTCCTCAGATAATGGAGTCCTTTCTTTGATTTAAATCCAGGCTGAAACCTTAGATCAGTACTTGGGGTGATCACACATTCTTCAATGGTGACACCCTGTGTTTTGGGGCCTTCTATCAATGGAATGGGGCTTCCCCGAGGCTGGAGAAAGAGAGAGAGGAAGAAGAGCAAAAATGTGGAATTATTATTCTTTAGATACAGCAACGGAACATTTAATGCTTTACAAATGTAAAACAAAATAAATGTTTTCAGGATTTAAACATTAGACATTTATACATTGCTCTATAGAATTCATATAGCTTTCCCATTTTTGTTATTCAGTTTGGAGACAGGTAGCCTAGTGCTCTTCAGAAGTTTGGAACCGTAATTCACACAATCCATTGTCATCGGTCATACTGGCAGAGGTTCCTGAACATGAGGTCCAGAACATGTGGGGCCACCAGGTAGCTTATGTTAGATTTAAGCAGTCCAAGTATTTTTTCTTTAATTAAACCAAATAAAGGGAGGTAATCAGAATTCATTAAATATATTGGATACAAATCCAAATTGTGGAGAAATAGGCAAAGGAGCAGGAGATCTGATTTCTGGGTTACATTGGCTCTGCACACTTACCATAATAGCCACTCCTTCATGTACCATAGATGGCGAAGCGTATAAGCCAGTAGAGTATTTCCCTACATAAAGCGTGGGCCTAGAGGAAGAACACTGAGAATCAGGAAGAACATTAACAATGCCATGCCTGTATGTACAGTGCCTAAGGCTTATACAAATGTTCTAAGTTAAGAAAGATACTGAAAATAGGGAAACAATGAAGTAAACTTGTTCCTTGCAATTACACTTGAAATAAAAAGAAATGATGCTTGAACTGGAAATATTGCCATGTGCTCTCAGACAAAACAAATTCCCTGTGACTTATTAAGAATGTAGTTACAGGGAATACCTTGATAACCCCAAGCATCCAGCTTATTTATTGCAGAAAGGCTCTACAGAGATCAGTGTGCCAAGGACCTACCAGGTCCTTAATGCAGACTTGAACAATACACACACTCTCTTTTCCTTCTGCCTCTATTTTCAGAGTTATATATCATCTATAAATATATTTATCAACAGACTTATGCTGACTAGGACAACATGCATTAACAAGAAAGGACAGATCAGAAAGAACAGGAAGGCTTTAAAAATGTTTTTTCCTGTTTCTGGGTAACTCCTGGCAGTATCACCTCTACACAGAAATTACTAGAAACTTTTCTAAAGTGCTGCAAGAGGGCAGTAACATTTTTTCTTAGTATGGATTAACTATTGGCACAGCCCGGTTTTTCCTTGCACCAGTGCCTGCATGATATACACACCCGCACACGCAATTATACATGTGGCTCACTGCATTAGGACCACTGATACAGTGAACTATGCATGCAGCCATGATAATTAATGGCTACCCTCAAACTATGTCCTCATTCGCAGAGGCATTCGCAGGCCTCAGGCAACACAGCCCCCACCTAACCCTTTGGCTGAACTTCTGCCACATCTGTCATTCATCTACATCTGTAGATTTTATTAAAAGTGCATAGGAGGTATTCCTGCAATAGAAATCAAATCTTGGATTTCTATTTGCATCCTTTGCAGCACCTGTGCAAAAGCTTCTTTTTGCTTTTGTGGTGGGGTGAAGGTTACAGTTATCTGTTGTGTTACACTCGTGAGCAAGTGTTAATAATGGGAATAGAAGAGTTATCTGGAGTCTATGACATCTGAATTCTTTTTCATGCATGGTGCTCTTCATCCATTACCCATAAACTAAAATGAAACAGGCTGCTTGCAAGTAATGGGAGACTGTATTTGAATCCCACATTCTTTCCCTGCAAGAGAATGACTGAGCTGACTTGATATACTAAATACAATTTTGACAAATAACCAAATAGCATATGATTGGGGAAAAATCCTCTTACACTCACATCAGTTTGCTTTTGGCCTCTGTTTCTTTGGGAAATGGGTATTTCCATTTAGTGATGCGCCCAACTTCACCAGACATGAACGTCAAGTAGCGTAGGGTTTCAACTCCCACGTTGGTGTGCATCACTTTCCATAAGCCTTCCCGCTGCCAGATGTAAAAAGCCACAACAGGGGAGCCATAATTCTGGATCCACAAGACATCCCCTGACTCGCTGTCCACAGTTACCACTAGTCCATCTCCATTAGATGCAAAGTGGGACATTTCTGGAATGGGCACAGATCAAAACCGTCACATATTCATAATTAGACCAAAGAAGCATTACTTCAGCCTGCAAGTAGGAGTAATATTCTTACTATATTGAACGTCTTCATCAGGCAATGTGGCTGCGTAGTTGAAGTAAGTGGCATTCCAGCGGAGTTCCTTACTCTTGGTATCGTACATTGTGATGGTATACTCTGTTGAAAGGAAAGCAACACTTTGATTTGAATTTTGGGAAGGAGAAGAATAACAATGGTTTCTAGTCATGATGGCTCTCTCTTGCACAGAGCAAGAGCACACAGTGGAATTCTGGGAGCTTCTCACCAACATCTGGTTGGCCATTGCAGGAAAAAGAGGAATCACACAAGCGTTGAGTCTAATCCAGCAGAACTCTTACGGTCTTTATGAAATCAGGGACTGCTAAGCAGTTTTCTCATCAGACAAATCCTCAGAACACTTCACTGAATGTCAGCAAGTGGCACTACCTCACTGTGAGTGGGAGGCTAAACATTTCTGTTGGTGTAAGGGTTTCATCTTTATAGTTTCAGAAAGCAACCCTACCTATGAGCCTGAAATACTCCAGTGGTGAGCAGAACTGAGGAAAGACTGTTCCCTTTTCCTCCACAGGTGATCTAAGACACCACGCATGTACATACACACACGCATTGGAACTAAATGAAGGGAACACTCCTAGCTAACTCTGGAGCTGGCGTGGATTATCTATCTGGAGAAGCCTCTGAGTCCCACAGGATGGCAAGCCTTGTTTTAGCGCTTCCAACATTGACAGAAAGTCATCTCAGTGGCTGTGGGGCAAGAATGCCCTCCTAGGGACTACATGATTGCAGCCTAAATAAAAGCCATCAGTATAAGCATCCCCCTTTCAAATGGCTTGGCTTTCAAAACCATCTTACCTGTTCGGCCAAGATACAGCAGTGAGGTAGATGGGCACAAGCTTTCGGCAAATGAAGAGGTTAAAGTCTGCTGTTTTTCTCCTGTTGTGAGGTCTACCACGTACCAGCTGTCCTGCTTCTTCCCTAATAACAAATATCAGCACATGTATAATTAAATTTGGAGGGAAGTAGTATTTTCAGAATCAGTTCCCTACCTACTAGCAACTAAAAATGCATGCTTTATCATCTGGGTCTTCTATGAACATAAAAGAACAGAAGCTCACAGCCTTGGCAAAAATCCAGCCACTGAGTTAACTGCTGAAGATTAAGTAAAATTCAGTTAATCCAAAAACAAACAAAAAGCCAAAAGCCAAATAAGCAAAGAACAAACAACCCTACATAACTATAGTATGGAGACAGTTCTCAGTAGTCTGTCAAACATAACATTGTACTCAGTGTATAAAGGTTTTTTAAATTAACTTCAGTGCATAAAAATGACAAAGCAGTCTTTTGCACTTAAGCTTGTTGCATAAGGGATTAAAGCCTAGATTTAAATCTGAGAAAACATCCAAGGGCCCCAAATGGAAAGAAATTTCCATGCAAGTATTCTGGAGGTGCATATAACCATGTTTTATACTTACATGGAAACACTGTAAAATAAATGCAAGTTACTCTTCAGAAGCAAATGGAACATTACCCATGTACAGAATTCCATCTGAACTACGGCAAGGGGACGCCTGGACGAGCTCAGGGATGGTGAATGGCAGTTTCTAGAAAAGAAGTATTCATATTAGCCATCTTCGCTTCATATTAAGCATTTGGTGAGGACTGCAAGATTAAAAACAATTGGTGAATCTTATTTCTAAGCATGTTGTTATTTAGGGGGATTGTCAGATTCTAGTAGTTCCATGTACGTCAATACCAATTACCAATATCTGCAATCTGCATTTGCCTTGCGTCATACAGAATGACAAAGATTTGTATCAGCAGTAACCCTGTGGTATTGATTTTTTGGTCACCACAACTTTCTCAGGGAAACGCTATCGGTCAGTCTTACCCTTTGGCCTATCTACTCTTGCAATCCTTCTTGCTAAAAATACTGTATCATCTCCCTTCTTTTATTATTGACTGTAACTCTGTTCACATTCAACAGGGAGCATCTTAAATTTCTAAACTGAGAAGCAAGTACAGGAAGAAGCAGCAGGTGCTACTGCTCTGTGATGCAAGACTTCTTTTAAGAGTGAAGGAAGGTGATAGATCTATTTGCCCCAAACACTCCAAGATGTATGAACACAGAAGAGACTAAAATGGAAGACACCAGCATGGACAGCAAAATATAAATACATCATAAGCCAACCCCCCAACAAAAAAACCAACCCCTGTCTTCTAAATTATTTACCTAAAAAGAAAAGTAACCTATGGCTGGTGTGGGTCTTCCGGGCTGTGTGGCCGTGGGCTTGGAGGC